ATTATTAAATATTAATTTTTTATTAATTTTATACAAAGTATGTAATGTAAATTATAGTTAAATCAGTTAATAATTTAATAATTTTAATTGTAATTACATTTTAATAGCTCTCTCTCCCAATTTTGTGGTCCTGAATGGGAGAGAGAGAGCTATTAAAATGTAATTACAATTAAAATTATTAAATTATTAACTGATTTAACTATAATTTACATTACATACTTTGTATAAAATTAATAAAAAATTAATATTTAATAATAGTTAAATATATAACCAGCTCTCTCTCCCCTATGGGAGGCAAGGAGACAAAGTTGGTTTTTAAGACAGTGCCGTAGATCATTTTATTTTTAGTTAATATTTAATCATACAAGGATATTTTTAAATGATAATTGTTTAGTTTTGAAAGTCTGGTACAAATACATAATTAAAATACAATCATAATTCTTAAAAGTAGCATCCATAACATTTTCACGAATTTGTCAAAATCAATCTGGAATATTTTATTAACGGAAAAAATATGTTTATCAATTACACATAAAAATTAATTAAATTATAAATAATATATAATTAACATGAATGTTTTTGAATAATAGAATACTTTATGACTTAACCATTACTATTTCTAACATGGATATGATCAGGTATGATGTAATTTTTAATATTCTAGATATTATTATCATATTTTATAAGATTAATTTAATTTAATTTTTTGAGAGAGAGAGAGAGAGAGAGAGAGAGATTTATAAATTAGTTATACCTCACATAAATAAAATAATTAATTATTACTACTATTTGCAACTATATTTACTAGTATACATCTATTAATAATTTGACCGGAATCTTATTTATTAATGTTAAATTTGAAAATGTATTAAAGTAAAGCATAAATATATTTATAAATTATTGACTAAAATAATTTAATATATAATAACTCATATTGAAGTCATGAATTTATTTATAAGCATTTTGTTGGCGCACCCTTATACTACCGGCGCTGTATTGGTAATAACTTTATTAGCTATGTAAGTACGTATATCTGATAAAAATATCATCTGGATATATTCAATCACAATTTGAATTTTATTTGATCCTGTTACTATCATTAAAGTTACTTTATAATGTTAATTTAGCTTCCTTAGGCACAAATTTACATACTGGGCCAGGCATGGTGTACCAGGACCAAATTTCTTATTTATCAAACCAGTGATAGGTTATTACCATGATGCGACGCAACAAGCTGTACGTAAATACGGACATGTATACGGCACCTACGGCTTACACAATAAATGTATCACGATAAACGAGCCCACATTAATCCGGAACATTTTGGCTAAAGACTTCCACATTTTCGCCGATAAACCAATATATGCGGGTACAGCGAAAATATACAAGAGCATTTTTCTCATTTCCGCTAATGAACGGTGGAGGAATATACGGAGTATAATGTCCCCGGCGTTCAGCTCCGGGAGGTTAAATGCCATGATGTCTCATATATCGGACATTTCCGATAGGCTTATGGATAATTTGGAAAAATACAAAAAGTCTGGTAGGTTGTTTTAAAAATACATTGTTTATTAATAATTATAACAAGTGTGCTCAATTTTTTCAACAAGCTATTATATTTATAATTTTATCAAAATTAACCTAGACCTGTATTACATAGTTTTTAGTTCATTTTTAAACAATTTTTAATTATAATAAAAAATGGTAAATGGTAAAACTAGCATAGAAATAAATTATATTATATAATTTTGATCAGAAACGTTCAAGTAGACATATATCATTTTAATATATCTATAGTATTACAAATTGTTCAAGTACAAAAAATTTTCACGTCTCTAATCTAGGTGAACCATTTAAAATAAGCGATTTATTATGCGCGTACTCAATGGACGTAGTCGGTGCGAGTTTTTACGGGATAAACATCGACTCACTAAACAACCCTGGTCAACCGATTGAACGGTACTTGAAGCGCATATTTGGCGCTGACGGCACCATTGGCCAGGCCATGTCATTAATAGCCCCAACGGTGGCCAAGTGGTTGGGACTCGAGTTTTTCGACACCGAGTCGACCGCTTATTTCGATGCCCTAACCGATCGTATATTAAGTGAACGGAAACACAATAATAAGTATACAAACAGTCGGCGAACGGATTTCGTGCAACTGATGATCGACTCCGAGAAGTCTAATCGGGATTTGGGTTACGACTCGAGTAGTGATGTAGACCCCACTCCCGAAGGGGAGTCCCAAACCGCGGGTCAACCCAAGGGTAGCCTAACTCCCGATGAAACAATAGCCCACGGAATGTCGCTATTAATAGCTGGCTACGAAACTTCCAGTTCCACCATGATTCATTCAATATTTTATTTGTCAACCAACATGGACTGCCAAACCCGATTGTTTGAGGAGTTAAGCACTTGTACCGAGTTCACCAACGACACCACGGTGCATTTAAAATATTTAAACGCGGTGATCAACGAGACATTACGACTCGCTCCACCCCTGACCGTTTACCATCGTGTGTGCCGTCAAGACTACAAATTGGGAGATACGGGTAAATGTATAATATATTTAACTGACATATTGATAAATCTTAAAACCAGCATGATAAAATTGTAAATAAAATAAACTAATTTAGAATTGATATACTACATGTAATACTGATATATCACATGTTTAATCACATATTACAGGCATAATAATACCTAAGGGTACGTTAGTAGAGATATTTCCGCACGCTTTACACCGGGACCCGGACTACTGGCCCAACCCCGACGATTTCATACCCGACCGGTGGTTCGAGCCCACGCACCATCCCCACGCCTACATACCATTTGGCGGCGGCCCTCGTGTTTGTATCGGTCAACGGTTTGCCATGAATGAGATGCGAATGTGCCTGGCTAAGTTATTTAGTAAATATGAATTTACACTGGCACAACCTAATGTTTTGGAGTATTATAGGGGATTTCCAGTTATGTCGCCTAAGAAATTAATTGTAACAATAAAAGCTCGCTGATATTTAAATATTTGTTTGGCAGGTTAAATTATTTTTGAATAATAAAGTAATAAATTGATAGTAATATTCAATATTATCTGTACCAAGTTTTTTAGGTTAAATTAAAAATACCATTACTAAATATTTGAATATTTTGTTGAAAGCATATCAATATGTTTACAAGGGTTAAATGGTGTATACTAAATTTAGCAAATACTACTAATTTGATACACTGGCTAGAGGTTAATTTAAAATACGCATGCTAAGTGTAATTGAGTTTGAATCATTAAAATTATAATTTTGCTCTTTATAATGTCAAGACTGAGTTTATAATTTTAATAAATTTAAAAATTAATAAATAATAAGAATTTGAATTGTTAATTATACTCAATTATGTACTTATGTAGATCTTTAAAAAATATTATAAATAATATTTCGTATATAATAGTCGGATCTTTCAGTAATGATTGATAACCTATCATGCATAAGTCTATTTGGATAATATGATTGATGTTGCTTCACCTTAATTCATTAAACCGATTCATATATAATCATAACCTAAAAATTTTTTTCTTACATTTTGATTTTTATTATATTTCACGAAACACTTGATGATCAAATACATACCGCCCCAATAAGTAATATATGAGAATTGGAGTTTTGTAGTAGCATTTTCCAAAAATTATCTATATATTGAAATTCATTTAATCACATATTAAACTATGATGAATGTAATGAATAACCAAATATTTATATTGAATGATTCGGTTTATATATAAATTATATTTATTTATGTGTCACTCATTTAATATAATTTACATAGAATTTTGTAAAAAGTGGTTTTAAAGTTCCAATTCTCATATGAGGTAATATGACTAACTCATAACCATAGGGGCGTTATGATTAAAAATAAAATATTTATAATGAGTTTATTAATGTATATCACTGAATGTCCAGTTCTAACGCCCCTATGGTTATGAGTTAGTCATATATGCAGCGGTATGTCATATGGGATTATACAATCAGACACTGATTGATAGACAAAGGAAATTAATTAAAATATTTTCGGTACTTGTATAATCGTCAATATTATGTGACCACAAATTTGTGAAATTTTTTTACGACAATCTTGGTAGTTGTCAATTTGCTATTGCTTAGACTAGACCACTAAATTCCGCTATTAAGCTGTGGACACGGATTGTATAAAATACAGTGTTTTACCATAAAAGATGTCACTGTTAGATAAATAAAATTAACAACAACAAATTACTTTAAGATTTTATTAATCAGTAGTATCATTTTTAACCTTTTAGAAATATTATAAGATGGTACAGTTAATTTAATTTAAGGGATTGTACAGAATCTGTATATTATGATGATTGATATAATTCAATTAATATTATAAATATTAGTTTGAGTTACACTTAATTAATATAATTTATAAAGATATTTCGTATATTTAATTTTTATATTAGATTATCATATCGAGGTAAGTGCTTAATTAAATCATTAATTTAACGTAAATATCCATCAACAATTATGACAACCCACTTGAAACTATAGCTTATAATCGATAAATAAATTTTATCTCTTAATTAATATTTCAAAAGTGCCGCGTTAATTAATTGATCATCATTATCTATATTAATTAGCAGCTACGATTATATCGAAAATTATATAAATACCAAACATTTATGACAAAATTTTAAAATATAACTTTATATTGTTTGCTAATTTTAACATGTATCAAATTACAATATTTATTATATTATTTATTTTTGGGGTAATTAGTCAACACTTAGCCCTTAGTAATCCTAATAGTGATGAGTGCGCGAGTGGTTGGTCACCATATTTGGACCAAAAGTGTTTCATAGCGTTGGAAACGGTTGGCACGGAATCGGAAGCGGAGGCCAAGTGTTCACAATTGGATCCGACGGCCACTTTGGTTACCATACATACGGTTCAGGAGGAGGAATGGCTCACAAACTACTTGAAAGGTTTTGCACACATTTCGGAGTACGTGTGGATTGGCCTCAAATGGTCGGGAAAGGGGTTCGTATGGGTCGACAACAGCCCCTTAGATTATAAGAGTTGGGGAAAGGATGCCGTACTGGACGGCAGCCTATTGTGCGCCGACTTCTCCATAAGCACCTATACGTTGGGGAACTGGACCGACAATTTGTGTAATAAAAAAGGACTCGTCGCATGCCAATCTCAACAATTAACCTTGAGCAAATTATCCAAAAAATTATATAACATACAAACTCAACTAACAGACAAAATAAATACCTTGACTGAACAATTGACTAAGGAACAAGCTAAGATTAGCATCCTGGAAAAACAGACAGTTCCCGTGGGTTTCATATATACACAATTGCCAAACATGTCGGCTCCGGTAGATTTATGGCAAACCATGAAATGGGATGACGTGACCGCACAATATGCCGGATTATTTTTCCGAGCCGATGGTGGGACCGCTGCCAAGTTTGGTGACATTCAACCGGCTAATTATTCAGCTATTTCCACAGTTAGTATGTATGGCATTGAGAATGTAAGTCATTCGAAAGATCATGGTTGGTTCTTGACACAATTAAAACAAGGTTGGTCAGATAATCCACTACAACATGCATATGAAAGTTTTACTGGATTACAAATATTTACGACAACTGGTGAAAGTAGACCACGAAATACGGCCATTAAGCTATGGAAACGGATCGGATAAATGTAACAAGGCTCAATTAATCATTTTGTTAAAATATACTTTACTCAACATTTGCAATATTAATTTTTATAATATTAAATATATAATTACTATCAAACTATGTTGGGATTTATTTTGTATAAATTTTAATTACTTACAAGTTAAATAGTAAACATAAATATAAATCTATTAATAACTTTAAAATATACCACCATTGTCAAACATAGTCATCTGCCGTAGTGTGACCAGATATTTTTTCAATATTTTTTTAAAAACTGGACAATTTTATGAAAAGAGTCAATATTAGAATTAAGCCAAGTTTTAACACTGGACAATACTATCCATTACATTGTAATAGATCAATTACAAAAATGGACACACTGTGCAAAAACTGGACAATCCAATGCAAAAATGGACATCTGGTCATATTTGTCTACCGTGAGATATAATAAAAACATTTCAATTTATAACTCAATTATTTAAATATAACTGATTTATGGTGTGTTTTGTGTCACAATTACTGACAACAGATATCCGGATTACTCGTTAACAACAACACAGGCGTCGCGTAATTGCGGTCATAATTGTTGGCATCGTTTAAAACGCGATTTCATTTCATTGAGACTCACAATCACTATAACTATAATAATACTTATAAGAGAGAGAGAGAGAGAGAGAGAGAGAGAGAGAG